CATTCATTTGTGTACGGGTCGGTTTAATTCAAACACAAAATTTGAATTACCTGTAACTCGTTGTCTGCAAAATAATAATAAAAATGTAAAATGTTTTTTCGTTAGATGAAAATGATATGAAATGGGTAGCAAATGGATTCCAAATGAGATCCATCGCGTTATTAATGTGCAAACGGATTTCGCTGAATCATATATTATTTTACCTGCAGTACTATAGGACATTTCATCACGGTGGTCTGCGAGAGGGTTCAGAGTCAACTGAGTGTACCCACTTGTACATTTATATAGTATTATTATACACTTACATTTCACTAATAAGATGTCGAAACTATAATAAACTGTTTCACAACGAAAAATAAATGTATGGTTTTGAACAAATACAATTACGACGACCGATCGGGATAAGAGACCAACTCTTACCACGGTAGTGTTATCCGCGTGTAGTACCTTTTACTCATATGAGTTATAACCAGCCAACCGTCCTGACGTTTTATATAAATTGTTGTCTTCACTCCGATTAAATTCTTTCACGACAATTAATTAATTGGTTTTTCAATAAAGTCCCGAATCCGGATTTAATCTTTATATACTTGAAAAAAATCACATCATTAACACAGCTGTCATTACAATTCTTTATTGATATTGCAAAAATATTCTATAGAAGGTACCATTGTTAACAGCATTGAAACATTTCAGTAGTATTAACTTAATTAATCGCATTATTTTCTCGTTTAAGATTTGAAATAGCCAAATTAAATAGTTATGTGCGCACCACAGTTATACACAATACACAGTAAACATTATCTCGGTTATAGCTCCCCCCCCCTTCTGATATAAATCAAAATCGTTGTAAATTACAAATTTTAAGTCACAATATACCAATAAAATGTATAAAAAATCTTCGTATTACAAGGTGGTTGAATCACCCCTCTCCCCATATAACCAAACGTGCCCGTGCGATACCCAGGGGTGTGCGTTTGTGTGAGCTTGTGTATCCATATAGAATATAGATTTTTTTACACTATTGGGTATAATATATAATGATATAACGATTTATATATAATGATAATATATAGGATATATGATATCGGTTTTCGCTATACTTACTACGCTCCAAGGAAATTTGTTCACATCCGAAGCGACACTTGCGATTATTTACGGTGGTGTTCGGTTTCGAATAATAATTCAGCATAACAGCATAAAAAACAATTTGTACACACAATAACCAGAATGTCCGATGAGTTGACATTTTCCTTGAGATATTATTTTATTACGTACCTATACTACCTACTACCTATAAGTATTATAGTAACAAATAACACATCGATATTTTATTAAAATATAATGTACTTACACAATATTATTTTAAATCACTGAAATTATTATTAAAACTAGTGAACTACGTGAACTAGCTCGTTGTATTCTGTATGACTGTATACCATAATATTATATAACATGTGTAGGTAATACATGATATTTATTATATTATATTCCGTTAAATAATAGTGTATACGAGCACAGTGACCAAACACCAAATAAAATAAAATATTTCTCTATAAACGTATTATAATAGTCAGCAGCACTAAAGCACAAGGGGCTTATTTTTATTTTCGTTCCGTCCGCACCACTCATATTAATATACTCATTATAATTCTTTGCTTAAAATATATGGGCACCTAAAAATGCGTTAAAATACCTACAACATGTATGGGTGCATAAGTATACGGTAGGTATATTGTAATATAATGTATTATTTTAGTTCGGAACGCATAAAAAAAAATTTTTTTTAAACAAACAGCTCGGTATTAGACTCTTATAATATGTATGTATATATAATATTATGATCATTATTCAAGATAAAGTCTTTATTATGCATATATACGCGTGTCGTGCATGAAGGTATACAGTATTATATAGGTATTATATTGTATAGTGTACATTATATTATACATGTAAGATAATTTAATTATTACGACTATATAATATGTTTATATATGCACGTATTATACACAAATTACCTACGTTGAATATAATAATATTATTATGTATAACAGTTTAAAATTATTTGTGTACGTACAATGATCATAAACAAAACATATTATTATTATATTTAATATGATAAGTTCTCGTTAATAGACTTGTAAATGCGTTTATACACGTATAAATAATATCATATCAAAACATCGAGCGAAAACCTCATTCGCCGACTCGTTACATACCCTATACACACTACGTATAACAAACCGATTTAAATGTTTTAAAATATGATTTAACATTAGCATGGTGATGCAATTAAGATTCAATTTTTTTCGTTTAAATATGTCACGATAAATTTAAACCACTATACGAATTCGATGTAACAATAATTGCAGTTTTAATAATATACAATATATAATCGCATACTAGTACGTTTCGACTTTTTTTTTTTTTAATTATTCAGAACAAACTCTCAAATATTACCCATTATCTACAACCGATATTGTAATAGTTTAATAATAGCTGAATACTCGGAATATGAAATTAAACTAGTTACTACCGTTGTCAAATTAGTTTTCGTACTTTAAAAACTTTGGTTGATAATAATTCAACAATCGCAGCAATATTTTAAATCTATAGACGACGATTTAAATAAAATCGTAGGTACTTAAATAATTATATTATCTTGAGTAAGTTCATCGGGTTTCGTGTTATAGTTATTTATCGATCGTGCACGGTGGTTAAGTCAAATAATTGTATTTTCACTAGATACTCTAATAAACTGTCATAATATAACGATCACGTGGTAATTTTGGATGTAGAAACTTAAGGCATAACCACAGAACAGTATATATATATATTAATAATTTATACATGTAATTGGCTATATTTTAATGATTAGAAAAAGATTTCTGATGTTCACGACAAAACAATTTATTTGAAGACAAAATATATAGATGGACAAGGGATACATATTGTCGTGTAAGAAATGTCGTATCATAATAAAAAAAAAATTAAATTATGCAATAAATAAGATTTCTTTATGGCCGTTGTAAATTGTTTTCATCTATATAATCATTTATTTTTATTATGCATTTCAAAATATAGCCTTTGCATTTATTTAATTGAAATAAAAGTTATATTACACATGATCATTATGTTGACTTTCTGAAAAATTCAATAAAATTTTATTTGACTGTGTAATATGTTACACGCTATGTATAATTTGTAGATACATCATATCGATTAGTTTTGGGCATTAATGTTTTGAAACCAAATACTGTGTTATTTTAAAACAAGCCATAAATTAATATGTTAATTTTTTGAAACCAATTAATATACATGCAAATAGTGTATTTTGATTTTAAAATATTGTAAGCTAAGCTAAGCTACAACGCATTTGCTGTCCAACCAAACACAAATATTTCAGGAAATACTATCGAAATAAAAACGAGTCACAATCAATGTTGAAAAAAGAAAACACTTAATGGTTGAATAATATCCATTAGTATAAATAATATATACGTATACATTTTTTTTTAGTATTCAGAGTGTAGGCAATAAAGTAACTTGTCTATCGAGAATCGCCCATAAAAAGGGATACAGAAGTAGCAACCAACAAATGGCTGTGGAATGTTTGGAAAAAACATATCATTGTGTTCTTGTAATTTACTACAACGTAAAAACACCATAAACAATTTGAATGGCATTTTCTACTTAACTGGTCAATTCCACCAGATTTGTCAAGACGTAATCATCCAAGTCTGTGTATTTTTTGTCCTCATATTGTTGTTTATTTTTTGTTTTTCTGTTAATTTACCGTATTTACATTGGACAGTGAAATCTAAAAAATTAACGTGTCGCTATAACCGTTGGGAATATCTTGCATCACATCTTGTAAATTGTAGCTGTAATTTCGTTACAAAGATCATGCCACCATGGGTCTATACAAATATAAAATTTGACTTGTGTGTAGAAAGGTTTAAGGTGGACATACGCATTGTCATATCGAACAATATTATCAAACAAAAAATAATAATAATACCTACATACGATATTTTAACGAGCCTTGTTAAAATGCATAATCTGTGTAATTATCACAAATTAATACACTATTTGATAGATAATATTGCGCAGACAGTTCTTATGACTCATTTATTTATTTCGAAGCACTAATTTTATGGGAATATAATATTATATATCATTTATTCCACTTATTACTAAATACATTTGTTTATTATTTTTGTTTTCGTTTAAAACTATATATGTACTTACCTATTTATATTATTTCATGACAATAAATAATAACTGCTTCTTATAGAGTACGTGAAGATTAAGTCAATGTAGTTTGGTGGTTATCCAGTTTTTAAAAGTTCAACTGTGATCGAATGCATTTTGATGGTCTCTTATTTGGACACGTTAATTATTAAAAAATATTCCCTAAACGATGTAAATTAATTATCCACTCACTAATAACTAACAATTATTAATAATTATACATTTAAAAATCAATTTAAACTTGCAAGATGTATTTCTACTAAAAATGACCACTTCACGTCAACGTGATTTGATAGGCGCGTACTTAAAATGAACAATATTGTAATAAAATATCTTCAAAAACACGCTTCTAAAATATGTAAGAAATAATCATTATAATTATTGTGTAAAACAAGTTTGTTGAATTGAAATCCATAGACTTCATTCATCTAAACCATGTGATATGATTCCAATAACGCTAAGACCGGTAGGTATCGTTTTGCTCGCGTAGGTTTTTATTCAACAAAACTATTTGTTAAATTACGATTCAATTGTACATGCTACATATTATTACTAGCTGGCTATACAAGCTAACTATACCTACTGGCCACAATAGAATCTATAAAAATAACACTACCTAATATCGTTTATTTATTTTTGTAAACAAACCATTATATGAAAATATCCATTATTAAGTGTTTAGCTCCACAGCAAAGTTCGTAATTTTCTGTACTTACGTCGTTCGTCTGTTGCAAAACCTTAAAGAGATGGAATCCCACTTGGAAGTTTCAACATGCCTGCAGCGGTCGTGCCAATGTGCCAGCGAGGGTCATCGATGTGTTGTCGACACACTCGATCTGGCAGTCGATAGTCGGATCAAGGCCGTTTGTTTCCCGTTGAGGCGCAGACATTTTGGTGAGAGTTTCCGGTCCTCACCCGAGCTCAATATTGACTCACCGGTGTACTCGCGCCCAGACCTGAGAAGTCTGCAGTCACCCGTGTTGAACGACGGAGTGAATACCGTGGTGGTTGCCGCCGCATCGACGTCGACGGGTTTCCCGGATTTTCCCGTGACTGCAGAGACGAAAGCCGTCAGTCTGGAAACGCAGCGACCTCCGGATGTCCGGTCATTGATAGCCACGCTGGATTTGGCCGGCTGCCGTACGATCCCTCTGGCTGTCGGGCCACCGGTGCGTCTCGGAAATGCCAGGTCGTGCCCAGAGCTGAAAATGCAGTCACCTGTGTACGGTGGAGTTCAGAATACCGTCCCTACGGCACCAGTGGAAATCCTGGCACGGTCTGAACCCCGAAAATCCCAGTCCACCTACAGCGAGAGTCGGTGCGTTGTCGACACGCTCGATCTGGCAGTTGATCACAGGATCACGGGCGTTTGTTCCCTGTTAAGGCACAGACATTATAGTGATAGTTTCCAGTCGTCGCCCGAGCTCAGACTTGACTCGCCCGTGTACTGGAGCCCAGAGCTGAGAAGTCTGCAGGCACCCTTGTTATACGACGGAGTGAATACCGTCCAACCGGAACCAGCGGAAATGCCGCAGAAACGGGCCAGGTCTGAACGCCACAAGTCCGCGTTTACAAGATCGACACGGTTCATCTGGAAGGGTCTGGTAAATGCGGCTCGCAGACTTTGTTGCTGCCGTACTTTTGTGGACATGGAATGATCTAAATTACCACAGTGGTCTTGGCTGTGCTACCGGAAGTCAATCGCCGATCAACACGTTCGTTGTTTTTGATAATATATTCGTCTAACTCTATATCTTTATTCGAGTTAGTCGAATAATTAAGTACCTATTAACTGTTTCCGTTTTGTGTTGCCGCTCAGTTACGTGTGCCTCAAGGGGCCATTGCGCTATCGCCTTTTCCAGAAAGCTTATGCTTAAAGGGAAGTTGCAAACTTGTGTTATACATTTTTTTTTTGCATATATTATTGAAAATGTACTAATATTATTCTGTTCTATTATAATAAACCACGATTATATACCTAACATATTGATTTGTTATATATATTATTTACTATGGTAATTTTCTCCCTCAACTCTTCGAAAGTCGCAAGTCGGACTAATGTATCCTTATCAGATGTGCGTTTATTTGTCATAGGTATTATTTTCACACTATTCTACTACCTATAGTGCAGGGTGACTTTAACCGTTAATTTTTGGTTCGGTTCCATAATTTGTTTTTTAACTTTATTTGCGATAAACGTTAAATCAAGCTATGTTCAACAAACGGTTAAAGATTTAACGTTATAAATTAAATGGTTCACCGAACATTTTACTAGAAAACGTTAAAATTGTTTATGTTTTTTTGAAAATTTCGCCTAAAAACTGTAAAAAATTTAAAGTTCTTGAATGATGAACCTAATAAACGTTGTTAAATTATTCATTCTTGTATATTTAATCAAAAGAACGTTTTGAAATAATACGTTCTCGAACATTTAACGAGAAGAACGTTTTGAAATAATACGTTCTTGAACATTTAATGAGAAGAACGTTTTGAAATAATACGTTCTTGAACATTTAATCAGAAGAACGTTATACAGTAATATGTTCTCAAACGCTTTAAAGTTGTACTTTCTTCAGTATTTAATCAGAAGAACGTTTAAGAGTAATATGTTCCGATTTGTTGAATTTTTATATGTTAACGTGTGTGAGACGGAGGTCGGAGACGCCTATAATTTCATATTACTTAAGCTTTATACCATTTAAGTACTTTAGTAGGTACCCTTTAATTACGATTTACGATTTACATTGTTTATCCTCTTCAATGTTTTGTAAAAAAACTAAATATTGTTAAAAATGTTTTAGATTTTTAAATATATTATATATATTTTTTTTTATTTGAGTTAAGGCTTTGATAACTGTGTTCATTAGCCAGTTACTGTAGTCGAAAGTTATGTTGTTTGAACACGTGTACGCGTGGCTAGGATTTGACACTAAAATGTTATGTTCTATGTATTAAAAGTTTGAAGAACATATTAGCTTATTGCGTTCTTCGTGTAATTGTTCAAAGAACTTAATAAGTTATAACGTTTTTTTAGTAATATTGTTCAAAGAACTTAATAAGTTATATCGTTTTTCTAGTAATTGTTCAAAGAACTTTATAGGTTATAACGTTTTTCTAGTAATTGTTCAAAGAACTTAATAGGTTATGATGCTCCTTATGTCAATTATTTAAAAAACTTTAAAAATCATAACGTTTTTTTTGAAAAAGTTCAGTAAACTTAATAGTTTATAATGTTATTTCATATGAAGGACCAATGAGCTAAATTAAATATTTGGTTTCGTTCCATTATATTTTGGTTCATGAACAACAATAATGTTCTTTAACCGTTTTTTTGCGTTCCGTTCGGAAACCCTGCTATAGTGTTTTATTTGTTAAATAGTTAATACAAAAGCCTGTTTTCCGCTCCATGGATCGCGGTCGGTTTCATTTAAATATATTAAGTCAAAAACTGAAATTGCACCTATATCTCCAGCTCACTATGTATAATAAATACAAATAATAGGTATACTTTTACTCTCGTATAATACTTATCGGCTACGGATTAGAGTTTACTTGAAAATATTATTGCAGTATAATATAATACGATTATTTGGTACATAACACGTCTCTTTATATTATTTTATAAAAAAAAAATATTATTAATATTGTTAATTAAAAAATAATAATATATTATACATATTATATCCCTATATGACGGTAAAATATGTAACAAAGATGATTTATAGAACTCGAGAGCTAAACACTTAAATGAACTACATCGACGCTCGCCGAATTTATAACTATCTATCTACTTACTGTGTTGATACCTGCAAATAATTACCGTCGTTGAATTATTAAAACTGTATCCAAAATATATGTAGGTATATTATAAATTATTTATAAGTCATGAGTAAATATAATAAAGGCTCTTCAAATATAAAATACAATTATAATTTAAATTAAAAATATTAACAAACTGAAATGAACACAGTCAAGTTATGAGAAACATTAAAATGCATTTTATTTAAGTATTATATATATTTTGACTTGCGGGCATTTATAAAATAATCAACGTACTTATAAACGATTATAATAAAAATCGTTGGTAATTTTCTCATTAAATAAATCTTACATGTATCTATGTAAAATGTTGTAAATAATCGTGCATATTATCAATCGTTATAGATTTGTCAAAAATAAAAAAAAAACCGTAACAACATTGAGTTAGATGACTTCATCAGGAAAACTTTAAAATAAAACATATTATGGGGTAAGTACCTAGCTGTTATTTAAGATTTAAAAATAAAACTAAAACTGTACAGTTCCAATATAGAAATCGATTACAAACACTTTATATCATAATAATATACCAGCTATTGCCTATTACAATATAGCCAGTGGCGTGTCCAGCGTGCCCGGGCCTACCCTGATTTTTAACCTTCAAGTATACCCAAAATATGCATTTTAAAATTATATATAATAAGCACACGATATATCGATCATATTTTTTGTTGTAAACAAAATAAATATTTGTCTATAAATAAAATTAATAATCGTAAAATTTATCGTCAATTCTCAAGCGCTTCTTGGAAATACCCCATATTTCTATTAGATATTACACGACCCGACGACCGTCGTCGTTTCGTCGGCGATCACCGCCGTAGTGTTGAGCGTCAAAAACTATGACATGGCTATTAGATAACAAATATTACACGTCACACTTATGACTTAAACAGTATAATAAAATTTTTCTTAAACTCAAAATGTGTTGACTATACAAGTTATTTTTATAACCAGGCCTGTCCTGAATTTTGGTCCTAGACACCGCCTCTGAATATAGGTACCTCCTAGAGTATAGACACTAGACAGTTGCAGGGCCTCATTTAGGGAGGGGCGCTGGGTACAACTGCCCCGGGTGCCAGTATTTTAGGGGCGCCAATATTTTGTGGTCAAAAATGTATTTACTTGTGTATTATTAAAATTTTATAATTTTAATTATTTTAATAACAGTATTATATAATATAATTTAGTTAGGTACCTATTATATATATTGTATTATGCTGTTTGAAATTGTTTTAATTAATATTAATTTGCATAGTTTAATATAATTATATCTTATTTATTCATGAAGTACCTATAACCTACTTAAATATTATGTTAAAAAAAACAACTTAAATGATGAATTATAAGCAAGGTTTAAGTGACATAATTCAAATGTATCTTTGCGGAGAGAGGATCAAGCAATTACCAACCATTTATTTAAAAAAAAGCACACATTGTAAAACAAATATTCTTTTCTGTGCTCAAAATCTAAAAGGTTAATGATGATCTATCTCCCAAAGGCCACATTTTCCGTGGGTAAGTCCCTTAGGGGGAGCAATTTTTTTCCCCCGGGGCGCAAAATGTCTAAATGCGGCACTGGACAGTTGTGTTATAGTATTTAATAATTATAACCATAATGGCATTACATTGTTTGGGCAGTTATAATATAATATATTATACAATATACCTATATTAAATACTTTATCGTTAAAGCCGAGTACATTACATCTACAACACATGCCATAGGGTGTTACTAGATTTCCCTCATTTTTAAAAATATTTATTCATCCAATTTTTTTTTTTTATTATTTCGTCGCCGGTCTGTTTTTAGATGAATGAATGTGTGGCGCGCGTGGATAATACCGCTACAACAGCTCTACTATTCTCTCGCTATTATGTACGTCGGACGGCGAGACCAAGACGTCACAGTACGTACGTGTGCGCAAATATGTGTGTGTGTGTGTTGGCGCCACGAGCCTCAGTCCCTTCTATTATATTATATTATCATTGTATGTGTGTCTCCTCTCGGTTTTTCAGCCGCCGCCGCCGCCGCAGCTGACCAACACCATCCCCCGGCCACCCATACGCCACCACCACGACTAGTGTAGGACAACACGCGGGAAAAAAGAACAGAAATTACGATAATAAATACGTAAAGTGCAAAAAAAAAAAATGAAAAGGTCTCTGCGTGTCGTCATATTATTATCTATGTATCCGCCTCCACCTCATTATCCTCCACCGACTTCGTTCAAACGAATGGTTTTCTATGAATTAAGTGCTTAAAACACTGCACGTGCATGTGCTGCGGTAGGTACACTCGTCGCACAAGAGATACGCATTTATATTTTAAAACAATATTATAATTATATAATATGACTCGAAAGTGTTCACGATTTATAGTGATAACGATCAACTGCACGGAGGGAGACCACCGCCGAATTCGACAATATCGCTACAATACAACGTCGCCAGTAATTATTACGATACTCAGATCGTACGTATATTAATAAAAAAAAAAAAAAATAATAAATATTTTACAGTAGTATAATAATATATAGAGCCATATAGCGGTAGTATTTCAGTCACAGCGTGTGGCATATAATAATAATATAGAATCTGTCATCGGCCCTCAGACGATATATTAAATAGTAACGTTAAACTATATATTATTATTATTATTATATTATATCCGTTTCGGCCGTTATATTATATAATAATGTAAAATATAATATATATGTCGCATATAAAACGACGTCGTCGTATCTTCCAGTCTGGACCAAACCGTCGTCGTCCATTTGTTGATTCGTTTGGACGTCGTCGTCTGCGGCGAGCGTCATCGTCTATCCCACCCCCTCCC